GGCAGCACATCAGGGGATGACACCCACACAGGAGCGCACTCGCCAGCTGAGCTGTACTGTCAGTTTGGACTAATGTTAATGCGCCTGTCCCAAGCAGAAGGTACTGTAGAGTGACAGTGCACGCTGGAATGCCGCCCAAGTCCTACAGAACCCGTCCTTAGCTTCTTCCTACATTATCCATACCTGACTCTGAAAATCCTAAGAAAAGAGAGAACTCAATTACGGGTCTTTACTGCACCCTGTATAAAATTTAATCCAGAACACTGGGATAGGGGGATGGAGCCAAGTAGGAGAGCTAGTGATACTGATAGCTACTGCTCCGCCCCTACTCCTGCCTCCAGAGCAGGTACCCAGGACCTGTGGATCTCGGGAAAGATGATCAGCCCAGGGAAAGCAGGAATCTAAGAGACCCCCACCAGCAGTCTCCAGGGCCCAGTCAGGACTGGGCTGAGAGCATGCCTTCCTAACCCTGGCTCTCTGTTCCTCATTTAGCAGCCACTGATCCCTCCTCTAGCCTGGGCAGGTCCAGCAATCACTTCACTGCAGGGGGAGAGTGGGAAAGCCTAGACTCCAGCTGTCCTTAACTACCACCCCATGGTAATACAGAATTCCATACAAACACCAAGTTCTGCCAACAACTCCTACCCAAAACCCAAAGGACAAGCCTGGAAATGCCCAAAATGGAAATGAGAGTGTGGGTGCCCAGCCTTCCCGGGAGCCTCAGTTCATTCCATGAGGCTCAAGAAGTATGTGAACAACTCCACACTGAGGGAGGAGGGCTGCTCATACACTGGACCCAACGGTAGTTTCTACTCTAGTGCTTTGTTGGAGAGATTTTTCTCTGCTTGGCATAAGGATCTGAAAAACCCATATTTATCTAGTAGGAAAATAAAACTTTCATTCCTTGACCACAAATCATCTCACAGATCCAGGAAGAACGATAAACTGAAGAGAAGCTAAAATCTGAAACCTGTTCAGTGTAATCCACCTGTTCAGTGTCATCTCAGGTATATGACCCCTAAGAATTGCTGGGCATCTCAAGAGGCACTCAAGTGGACAGTCAGTGCCTGCAGACCCTGCAGCTACTGCAGAGGAAGGGCTGCCTTCACCACTCATGGCTGGTCAAGAAGAGCAGGGCTCCAAAGCAAAGGGCTTCACGACCAAAGTGTCTTGCTTCTTTGATGGACACAGGGACTTGCTGGTGGCCACCTCAGATACTCAGATACCTGCCCACAGTGGAAGTGTCACTTCCTTGGTAAATGATAACTATCCCATGTGAATGTAAAGTTTTTTTAGTTGTTTTGTTGTTGTTTTTGTTCTTTTTTGTAATAAGGCACTTAACCACTGAGCCACATCCCCAGCCCTTTTAATTCTTTACTTTGAGACAGAGTCTCGCTAAGTTGCTGAGGCTAGCCTGAAACATGAGATCCTTCTGCCTCAGCCTCCAGAGTCGCTGGGGTTATAGGTTTGCGCCACCATCACCCTGCTCAGCATGAACTTGTTTTTAAGCCATCAGAAAAATGAAACTCACCCGAGCAGAAGCGTGAGGCCTTCTGCTCCTGCTTTTGAAGAAAGAAGACCTAGTGAGGGGGCTTCTTCCTGTTGGCCACAACCCCCAAGAGTTTGTTGGACAAACTCTTAAAAGGATAAGTTCTTCACTGTATACGCCCAGCTTTATGAGCTCCTACTCCCAGCTCCCAATAAAACTTTTGCTTGAGGCTCATGATGAAATGAGGGAGGTTTTACTGCAGAATTTTCAGCTGAAACAACAGTTGGCATTTTTCCTTCAATCTTCTGCAGAACACAAATTTATGTACCTAAAGGTAATAAGGCAAAGTCTTAAATTTAACAGAAGAAATATTTTACCAGTGGTAAACTGATAAGTTATTTAGAAAAGGGCTCAATCAGCCAGGCAAGGAAATCAGGGCCAGATAGAGTCTGGCAGCCTTCCAAAATAAATATAATCGCTATGGTTCCTCTAAATTTCCTCCTGAACCCAAATCATCCTTATCAAAAATATCTAATTTTGAATATTCATAGCTAAAAATGTAAGAGGAAAGAAGTCTGAGCATCCTAGAACAAGTAAGGAAATCATCCATCTGCAGGGCAATGCCCAGGGGCGCTAGGAGGCTGCCCAGTATGTCTTCTGCACCTCCTGGAAAGGAGCTGTGTTGAGGTCAACAGGCCCCCTTTCTGCTCCCACACACGGCAGTGTGGAGGCGGGCACCAATTTCAGCAAACATTAATGAAAATGACCTTATTGCAAATTGCCCGACCTTTGTGAGTCTTGCAATAAAGCACAGAGAAAGAGAAAACCAGATCAATGGGTCTTTACATCAAAGGTTTAGGAAATTTAATAACGTCCCATTGTTTTGTTGCAGATGGCACATCAACCTCTCTTTATTACTGCAGAAACTCAAAAGCCCTGCAGAGTACAATAAAGCAGTGCGTGTTTAGCTTTGCAATGTTTCAAAGGACCCTGATTTACACTGGGATCAAACACCTTGTGCCCCATGCAGGAGCCTGGTAATCGCCTCTTGTCTGGTGCAACCCTGTCAGGCAACAGGAGCAGCACTGATGGATGCCAGGCCGGCCTTGCTGTCTTCTGCAACCCACATGAAATCCTATGAATGGAGGAGTGTGCCTCGTGCAGCAGGGCAGGCACTGTCCTCACCAGGTGCTCGTGGCACAGCCCCATGTTTCACACCTGACAAAGGGGACTTCAACCTTAGGCTTGTTTCTGAAATAGACAGGTGTTAAAACGGTTTGTAGTGGGAAATTTTAAAACATTTTTAGCATACTTACAAACAAATGCTAAATAGTAAGTATGCACGGTTGTGCTTTGGCTTGCTGAATGCAGGAATGGATGCAGGGAAAACCCTACTTGGTTGGTACGCACAGCTTTTTGCTAGGCTGCAGCCAATACTTCATTCAGATTCCACTTTTTGAACCAACGCTTGGAGGAATCCCACCTGCGCTGGCAACTGAAACCTCTTTCTAAACATTCTAAAATCTTGAAATAGCCTCCATCTTACTGACCCTTCAAACTCTCGCCTTTTCAAAAAACCAGATTGCAGCTCCAACAGAGCTGCTCACTTGAACCAATTTCCCACCTGAGGACCTCACCCTCTAGATCTGTGTCCACTGTCCCAGAGTGGCTATGCCGCTATCCCATCTGACATATGATTCCACCTGCTATCTCTGTCCAGCATCCCTTCTATATACAGTGTGCCTTGTCTTACACCACAAGGCCTCCTCCAAATGCCAGGGAAGAAAGTTGCTCTTAGACAGAAACTCAGAATTAAAAATAACAATAGGTCCTCCTCTAGAAGATTCCATTTGCCAGCTGGACCATCTGACACCTGCCAAGCTAAACTAATGATAAGGCTAGCAGTAATCAAATCTTAGTAGTCCAAAACACTGTGGATCATACCAAATTAAATAAACATTGACATCCTGAAATATCAAACATGTATGTTACAAAAAACTACCTTTTCTTGTGAAGTAAGCCTTTAAAAGGAAGAAAGTAATAAAAACAACAAAGAACAATGGGAAGACCTGAATGTATCTGGTTACATAGATCCAAAATTACACTCTATCTTAGATAAACAAATATACCCAGCAAAACACAATCACAGAAAGTAAAAACCACGAGCTGCCAGAAGCAGCTGAGTCAGAAAGGGCTTTCTTTACATTCATACAATGCTAGCAGCTTCCAACTTTGGTACTCTGACCCACTCTCCCTCAAGTGCAGTCTCATCTTGCTGAGATGCTCCAAGAAGCTTTTCTCACTGAAATACTAAGCATCTCAACTATCTTTAAAGGAATGCACACCATTTAAATCCCTCCTGTCCTCATCCAACCCCTAAAATGGGCTATATTCTCAAGAAAAGGGCTATAGAATTTCTCTAGAAACCATCAAGAGGCAACGGATTTGAGAGAGAAGCAAACGCTTTAGGCACATATCAAAATGAGCACTGAGAATCTGCCTTCTAAAAACTAAAGGTCCATTATTATTGACTTGACCACAGGAAATGCAAAGCACAAAAGCATAGGACTGTTTGCTAATAATGAGTCACCTGGCCACCAGAGCTAGAGCAGGAATCACAGCAGGCCCTGTTATTTGAAGAATGTGAATGGTAGATAAGAAACCCCTAAATTCCAGATTTGTGGAATAAACATCCACCAATCAAAGACATAGCAGGCAAGTGTTAAGCAGGCTCTATAAGTCTATTGTTTCCAGGAGGCTCACAGCCCCCAACCTAGGGGGGTGGGTTTGAAACCCAGTTGGGGTGCACAGCCAGGCCCCCTTCTTCCCAACACTCCTGGCAGGTGATTCCAGAATCACGCCCTGCCACAAGCATCCCAAGTTTCTGATTTCCTAAGAAGTTTATGAAGTCCTCAAACCAGGTAATGAGAAAGGACAAAGAAATAGGTCTTTGGGTAGTTTACAAATAACCACGATCTTAAAGGCAATTAAACACAGTTACATTCTGTGCTGCTTTTCTTTAAAAAAAAAAAACAAAAAAAACTGTAAGATATAAGCAACTAAAACACACTAATTGGTAGCTAGCTTCCTAAAGAGCCTGCCTTCTGAATCAAAGACTAAGCATATGATAGGTGTCAGCCTTTAACGTTGGGTGCTTTTTCCACCTATCTAAAAACTGAAGACTGGAAGGATAGCGCTACCCGGTTACGGAAACTACATTTCCTGTGCAAAATAAAAACCTTGATTTAAGAGTAATATAAAGGATATTTTCTCTTCTAAATATTTAGGGGAGGGGGATTACACAAAATAGTCTACGCCAAGCATGACTCAGCGACATGTGCACCGCCGTCAGAAACCACACCAAAGCACACCAGCAGGCAACAGTGCCAGGCAGGCCTGCAAGGAGGTGCCGTCCCTGGAGAGTCTTGCTTGGATTCAAAGATGGCTTGAGACCAAGCAATTGAAGTTTCCTTGTAAGAAAGAAAAGGAAGAACAAATACAGCAGACTTACCCTCGGCTGCCAGTTCTCATACTGCTTCTGTAAATTTGCACCGATGGTTTCCAGAGCTTTCTGAGGACCCATTGACAAAGGATCTGCGGGAGCAATGAAAAGGAGAAAGTTCTTTAACAGGCATTTCCTCTGCTGCCAAAACTTCCCTCCCCAGAGCATCCTCTTCCCACAGTTCACTTCAAAGTAACCACTGCAGCCTCAGGTCTATCAGCCAGCATTCATGGAACTGCGAGTGTGCCCAAACAGGCTTGCTACCATGCTCACAAAAACACCGTTATTAAAATCACCGGCACAGTGCTTGCTCTCCTCCAGCCCTGCTGGCCTGTGTCCCTGCACCTGCTGCTTTCTGGTACTCCCTTGTCCTACTCTCCTGCTCCTGTCCAGGATCTGTCATAAAAGGTCTGGGTTGCACCTCTATCAGGACAGAGACCTACACAAAGGAGTCCTCTGGGGACAGCACAAACTCGTGTTCAGACCACAGCTCTCTGGTGTGCAGGGACAGAAGAAAGGAAAAAAAAAAAAAAAAACGGGTAAAGGGGTGGCACATTCTAATAATTTCCATCTGTACTCTTCAGTTCTCCCACAAAACCCAGCCTTGCACACACAATACATCTGTGGCTCGCTGCTTACTTCCCGAGTGGCTTCTGGCACTAGGAACTCCAAGCCTATGGCTCTCAAACTTGTCTGTGACTGAAGACCCCAAAGAGCCTTTGTTTATGTGGCTGCTTCTTTCAGTGTTTACTGTACTAGAAACTAAGATGAGAAAATTTTTCCTATTTCTTTATTCGTTTTTCAAACACAGTACAAACCCACTATATTTTAACATGAATATTTCTGATGAAAAATAACCATGGTTTCTCAAAAACCATTTAGTAAGAAGTGGCACAGCACATTTCACAAGGTTCTTTAGGGCTGAGTTTACCAGGTGGCAGCTGGCTCTCCTGGCAGGTTCTGCATTTGCCCGCATCTTCCCACGGCCCCACCTCACAGGAGTCACCACTAGAACAGGGGGGATCCTAGCTTAGCTAGGCAGGCTAACACTACACCAAACTCCAGGGGCGGTAGCCTCTGTGAGGTCATGTGTGAGGCAAAGTCTAAAGCCATGGCAGTGGGTACCTAGTGGCCACCTCTTCCACAGAGGACTCTGCATCATCGGGCACTGTCCACCTGAAAAACATGGGCTCACTGTGCAGCACACCTTACTCGCTCCCTTCTCTGATGTTTTCAAACACCGCCTTCACTGACTCCTCACATCTCACCAGAAGTCCTCCAGGGCTGAGAAGCCACCAACTCACAGTGGCAAACACCAGTTTTCAAATTCCAAAATTTTTTTTTATTTCACTTGTTTATTTATTTTTTTTATGTGGTGCTGAGGATCGAACCCAGGGTCTCGCACGTGTAGGCAAGCACTCTACCACTGAGCCATAACCCCAGCTCCAAATTCCAATTTTTTTTTTGTTTTAAAACTTTAAAATTTATCACTAACAATAAATACTATCAGTTGGTCTACTTAATGTGACAGGCTCATTGCATTCAGAAATGTCTCCTTCAGTTGAACACCGCAGGCCAGGAAGGGCACTCACGGCTGCCCCTGCAGCAGCTCCAACACCCACAGCTGCGCTTCCACAGACGCCCAATTCAGCACAGTAAGTTATGGAAAGCACACATTTGACAGATGAACTTTAACAAAACTAATATGTTTTTCTGCTTTATCAAGGGCAATCTTCATTAAAAACTGAATTTTTTTTTTTTTTTTTTACTTGCAAATGACTAGCAGCAAACAAAATGACAGCAAAGAGCTGCTGACCCTGCTGGCTCCAGTGGTCTTTACCCTCAGGGCCTTTCTAGCCACTGCAATCTGTCATAGGGGACAAGAACATCCTGATGTCATTATACAGTAGGTCTCATCTTGGAGACCCACTTTGTGAATGACTGCAAGTTTGTTTTCAACAGAGATTCTGGTTGCAAATTTGAAAGCAATCTTGCAAGGGAACATATCAGACTGCTAGACAAGGAGAACGCTCCTCTCCTGGAGACTCCTTCCATAGGTGATCTGGGCTCCCTCAGAAACCAAATTCATCACTGCCCACCCTCGTGTGTTCAATCTCTCCCACAGCAGAGCCCCCATGGGCTCCGACTCAGTTACGCACACTGCATTCAGAAATGTCTCCTTCAGGTGAACACCGCAGGCTTGGACAGTCAGAGTGTAACAAGACCTCGAAGCACCAAGCAGCTGTCCCCTCTCGCACCCTCAGAAGCAACCACTTCACTCCAGCAACCAGGGCCTCTGACAGGGCCTCCATCCTCCTAACCCTTCTACACTCTCTGATCTTAGCAGTGGACAGGACTCTTCCCTCTTGCATACGTACCCCGACATCCCCTGCCCCTATTCTTCCAAAGTAGCTACACCACACATACAGCAAAGTCACGCTCTGCACTCTATGTGGCGTCCCACAGGTTCCATGCTGAGCCTGGGGGCATATACCACAGCTCTGCCCAACTCCCCTCCCAAGCAGCACCTTCCCCACCTTTCCTTCAGCTAGCCTTTACCCCTTCTTGGCCACCTGCTGTAAAACCCCACAGAATGAGAGATTCCTCTTTGTGCAAAGTAAATGGCTCCCAAGAGGGGAGCCTGCAGGAATCTGTGGGCAGCAGCAAAAGGACTGGCACCCTGTTGTCATGTCCTCACAGTCACAGGCTGAAAGCTTCAATAGCTTAAAACTGCCCACATTTGCCCATAGAAGCTCAGTGAGCCATAGACAGGATAAACCCAAAGGCATCCACATCTGGACAGGCCCCAACTACACTGATAAAACTAGCCACAAAGAAAGAGCCCAGGAGAAAATCAGATCACAAACTAAGGGTCAAGAGTTAGGAGAGCTCTGGACTGCCTAATAAAACTGGAAGCCAGTCAAAACAGGGCAATGCCTTCAAAATTCTCCAAGAAAGCAATTCCATTCAATTCTGAGGGAGTAAAACAGAGGTCTTTTCAGACATGCAAACATGCAGAGTCTGTATGTCACATTTCTTAGAAAGTAAACCATAAAAGAAAATAACAAGGACTCCAGAAAATGGGGGCGGGCATTAAGAAGAGCTGAGTCCCTTACAACAGGTCTGGAGACCAAGCAGTCCAACAGGAGCAAGAAGAGAGGTTAAAAAACAAAACTAATAGATATTTGAACATTGGAAAAATTATTGTAACCTCTGACAGACGAACTGTCATACATGTAAAAAATAAAATAAACTCATTACAGGTTCACAGAAAAACTGGCAATAACAAATTACTAGCAAATTGGTGACTACATGGAAAAATCATATACAAAGAACCAGATGCCACTGGAGAAGGGCAGGACACAAATATTTTTAATCACAGCATTCCGTACCATTTACTTGCATTACTCTGATAAAAAATAAAAATAGGAACTAATGATAACATCACAGGCCAGGACTGTACAACTGGAGGCACCTCCTCTAGGGTATATCTGAGGCATCCAGGACATCTCCAAGCTGAGGCACCAGGCCCTCCCCTCTGTGAGCTCCAGTTCACAGCTCAGGAGAGCAGCTCTGCTTGAGGGAAACTGGGTAAAAGCCAGGCTCTAGCACCTGCAGTAGAAGAACCGCAGTAACATGCTACAATCAATAAGAAAGAAGATGCTAATTTTCATTTCTCTTTGTCCTACAGAACAGAGGTCTAAGACTGCAGCACAATTACAACAACCCCAACCAAGTCAGCTGAAACCTGAACAACAGAACTGGTAAGGGAGGGACGGGATCTGAAAAATGAAAATTAGGGGCTACCTAAGCACATAAACAAAGAAAGGGGAGCAGAACTTAGTTTTAACAACAGAAGCATTTAAAGAACAGGGCCTGTGCATGCGTGATGGATAGTGCGTCACACAAAGCTGGCTAGAAAGCCCGATCCCCTCCTACTGAGCAGTGAGGGTGTGGCCAGCAGCTCACAGCCCCAATGGTGGTGAAGGGAACAGGCCAGGCACAAGAGCCAAGCCTGTAATCCCAGCAACTCAGGAGGCTGAGGCAGGAGGAAGACAAGTTTGAAGCCAGCCAAGCAACAACTTATTGAGATATTATCTAAAAAATAAAGAGAATGGGGATGTGGCTCAGTGATAAAGCACCCCTGGGTTCAATCCCCAACACCAAAAAAAAAAAAAAGTTCTTTGTAGAAAGAAACAGGTGTGGGTACTATTTTTCATGTTTTTAGTCTCTGAATTTCCTAATTTCTTAAAATGCCCTACACATTACCCTTATAATAGTTTTTTAAAGAGAGAGAGAGAGAGGGAGGGAGGGAGGAAGGGAGGGGGGAGAGGGGTGTGCCCAGGCTCGCCTGTGCCAGCGGCATTCACTACACACTGCACTTCCTGCACACGCTCTTCTGATGAACCGTGTCACAGGGAGGGAGTGCCTTAGGTCCACCTGACCTAGAAAGGACTGGAACTACCCCTCCCCATGGAACTTCACCATGGGAGGTGAAGGCCCTTCTCCCCCACCACCCTCCGCATGTGGGCACAGAGGAGCTGAGGTCATCCTTCTGGGTGCGCCTCACAGCACCCAGCAGAAACTCCTCCTAGAGGAGGCGGCCTGACAGTGGGACGGCTCCCACTCCAGGCCTGGAATCAGGACACCTCTGGATCCAGAGGGAGGGCCAACAAAGTGGGCTGTCACCTTAATCTACTGGGAATCCCTGCAGTCAAACTGATGGCCTCCCCCCAAGAATATGATGATGAGTGGGAGAGGGGAAGAAGTGTGAGGGAGAAGGCAAGAGCAGGGAAGCAGCGTGACGGAATGATGCGTTGAACACTACAGAGACGATTCCCATACACTGAAGCCGACATTCCTGTGGGATGGGGAAGACAGATTTAAAACTGTGGCTGTCTTAGCCCCTACCTTCCAACACCTTCTTGGTCTCTATTTTGTTTTGTGGGGAAGCTGGGAAGGCTCTGAAGAGTGAGTGTGAGTAAATCAATGAACGTGTGGTGGGTAGGAAGCAGATGTGTCACCTGGCAAATAACTTTTCACTTTTTAAAATTTCTCCTACCTGCACGATTTTCAGCATAACCCCTCTGTA